TAAACAACTGGAAGATGAACAGAAAAGTTTAATAACAGCAATCAAAATTGTACAAAATGATTGCAATACAAATAAACAAAGTACATGGTCATGGAATGTTGTTAAAAATCGTAAGCCAAATCAGAATGAAAGCACACAACGTGGACAAAACTCTGGGGAAAATAGTCACAATGGACTAGCCAAGACAGATAATCAATATTCTGTTTTAGTTGATGAAAGTGACGACGAGATTAACATATTATCTCAAAGTCGATTACCTAAGAATAGAAATCAATCTGAACCACCCAGGCACACCATCAGGTCCAATGAAGACAAAAGACATAACTATTCTGCGCCTAGAAAACAACAAGCAGACAACGACCGAAATAACAACAACAACGAGCGAGCCCAAGATTCTCGCAGATCTCCGCGCGTAGGACAATCAAGAGTTGCTATTTTGGGCGATTCTATGCTTAAACAAATAAACGCGAGACGAATTCAACAAGGAATGAAGCATAAAATTGTTGTAAAAACATTTCCTGGTGCGGGAATAAAAGAAATGAATCACTATGTAAAACCAACGCTACTCACGGCACCAAATAAGCTTATTTTACACGTCGGAACCAATGATCTACAAAGAATGACGCCAGATGAATTGTTGACACATGTACAAAAGCTTGGAGAGAGCATTACTCGAGAAAACGGGAATATTGAATTAGTTTTATCAGAAATCATAACAAGAAATGACGATAAAACATTGGCTGATAAGGTAAACGAATATAACAAGGGATTAGCCCAACTATGTATAGAACGAAATTGGTGTCTTATCAGGCACAATAATATTGACGTAAACCATTTAAATAACTACGGACTGCACTTAAATAAGCAGGGTACATCAGTCTTAGCAAAAAACATAAAGCAATTTCTTAATAGGAATTGACTAGGTAACGACAATAATAATGACATAAGACACAGCGATAATAATATAGTCGACAAAGATAATTCCGATAGTCCAGCACGCTGCACCTCGAAAAGCCCAAAAATTCCTTTCCAAATTAATAAGTCTTATCCAAAACTAAAGGGTTTTAAAATTGGCCACTTAAACATTACTAGTTTGCCGAAACACATGGATGAGCTTAAATTATTCATGAAGGAAATATCATTCGACATTCTTTGCATAAACGAAACTAGATTAGACAATACAATTAACGACAATATTATTAAGATACCAGGTTATGATATTGTAAGACGAGACCGAGATCGAAATGGTGGCGGTGTAGCAATTTATATAAGAAGTATCATTAGTTATAAAAACCATATCGAATTCATTCCAGACAACTTAGAATCTATTTGTCTTGAAATTCAAAAACCTAAGTCAAAACCACTCTTAATTGTTACATGGTATCGTCCACCAAATTCTAACACTAGCATATTAAACGACTTCGAAACGTTACTGCGAAAACTAGATGATACAAATATTGATATTATTATCACTGGCGACCTAAATTGCGATATGATGGCAAACAGTCCCACTCATCATACAAAAAGGTTATCCGATCTGATAAATGAGTTTCAGCTAAAGCAACACATTACAAGTCCGACTAGAATAACGACAACATCTAAAACATTAATTGACATAATAATGACTAAAGCAAGCGATACCAAAATTATAGACTCTGGAGTGATACATTTAGGACTGAGTGATCACAGTTTAGTGTACATTTGCCGCAAAGTAGGAATACCTAGGGCTGAACCAAAAATTGTAGAAACAAGGCAGTTTAAATACTTTAATTCATCTGCATTTCAATACGACTTAAAAATGGCATTTCAAAGACACAACAACCTCTATAATTATGCCGACCCAAATCATGCGTGGGAGGTATGGAAAACTATTTTTCTTGATATTGCAAATATGCATGCTCCACTTCGGATTCGGAAAGTCAAAAGTGAGCACTGTCCTTGGATGACAAACGAAATAAAAAACCTTGCGCATCATAAATTCTACTTGAAACAAAAAGCGGTCAAATTTAACTCTTCTAATTACCACGAAGCTTATAAACGTTGTAGAAATGAACTTAACAAAAGAATCAAAGCAACTAAGGTTCAATTTTAC